TTTAAATACAGATAGAAAAGAAGAATGTATGTTTGAAAGCAATCTACTTCTATTAATCATACTTGCATTTATGATTAATAAATATTACATATTTACAGTGGGAAAATATCGACATAAAATTTCTCCAATATCATCAAATATGGTTTTCACCTACTATGACATAAGCAAATCAGTCTATTATCTGTATGCCATTAATTCATCAATACTAAATGAACAGAGTACGATCCAATTAATATACTAAAATTTCTATTTTTCTTTACACTACATTGTTCAAACATGAAATTATCCAAAATTATTTATCTAAATGATTCTCACCACAAGAATCTCTTAAATTATTCTCAAATCTTCTATTTTTAGTTTATTCTTCATTCATAATGTCATAGAATGTAATAGTTATATTCTAAAGAAAAATAATTACTATCAATAGACGTATTATAACAATATGTCAAAAACTAATCTTCAATCGCACACATCTGCTACCAAAATTTTACACAATCAGTAGAGATCGACAAGTTCAGTTCTAGTTTGAATCTGTTGAAAAAAAATTCTTTGATCTGTTTCAATAGTTTAGGCCCTGGAACTCAGCTGTTCACACAATTTTTGTTCTATTTTTGAAAAAAAACAAACATTTTGAAGATCTAAAAAGCTTTTGTTCTGTTTCTTGGAGTGATACTTTCGGTTACAAAAAAAAAAGTATTGCTCTCGTTCTGGAAATGTCACATCCAGGGTTCAAAAAAAACTTTTATTTTATTATTGAATTGCCGCTTCGAAAACAGAACAAAATTTTTTCCATAGTTCAGTTTCGAGAGTTAAACTGTTGGAACAGTTCTGAATTGATCTATACCTGTCTAATAGTGTATAAAATTCTTTTTAGATTTCAAAAGAATTCTAGTAAAACTTGAGTAAGAGAAAACAAAAGATTTCATCGTTGAAATTTTTCCAACTCATGAAAATCTTTTATCAAATAAACTACATCGTCTACAAATACTTTTCATTTAAATCCTGATCAAATATCAATACATACAAACATTTATCGTTAACATTTGTTTAAACTAAATGAATAATTCTATTCAATTACATACAAAATTACTCACAACAAGAAAATCTCTCTTTCTCTTTGATTCTGGATCTACAAAAGAAAAAAAAAATTGAATATATTTTATTACGCGAATAGATATATATTTTAATATCATATTGAGTTTGACTGAGACATAAAAAAAAAGGAATGAGACAAATAAAGGACCAAAAAAAAACAAACAAATAAAGATGACAGAATTTTGATCATTGAAAAAGATAAGATAAATATATCATTAAGAGAAAAAAAAATGAACATACGACTAGTTACTACTAAGAATAAGTTCATATGCATGCACAATTAAATTTGCAACATCTGGAATTTTTGTTTTAAGTGAAAACTAAAAAAAAACAGAAAATTGTTTATTTTATAAAACAAAGAAAACAAAAACAAAAATTTTTTTACCGCTATCGTTCGATTTCCAGGTGTAATTTTTAATTCAACAAGTATAACTATTCCATTAGTTAATTTCATTGTTTGATAAAGCATTTCTTTTTGTTCAATAATTGTTCTTGTTACTGTATGAATATTATTTAAACGTAATTTATTTTGTAAATCTTCAATTGATAATCCATTAACATTTTGTAATTGATGTTTGATTTCATTACTTTCAGGTATTTCTTGCCATGTTTGAACAAATGCCATTTTATCCATTTCATTATCTGGAGTAAAATAAACATGTATTGGTACAGCACATGCAAAATAGAAAACATCAACATTATTTTTAATAGCAACTTGAAGATTTGTTAATGGATCCATTTTCATAATTGGTCCACTTGTATTTAATATTAATTGTGTTGAAACATTTTGATTTGGAAATAATGGACTTGTTACTTGTAATGGTTGAGCAGGTGTTAAACCAAAACTATTACGATTAAGTTGTAATGCAAAATCAGTCATTGTTTGTAATGCTTTATTTGTAATATCCAGTTCCATTACAATTTGATTATTACGACGAGCAAATGTACCGGATACTTCAAGACCTTTACCTTTTTGAGCACTTAACCAAATCTATTAATAAAAGAAATGTTTTTTTAATACAAAAATTAGTATTATTCGGAAGAGGAAGGTTTTAAGATTTGTATTTCATATGAAGAATCTTTTAGATCAAATCTATCTTTTGAATGGAATCCATGACTGTTGCTCTCACGACATTTTCTTTCCTGAGATTCTTACGAGGAAACCTCATCAGATTTCAATGATTTTGTTGTATCTATAGATATTATATACTATTTTAATGAAAGTTATAAAAGAATTTCTGTTCCTATTGAAATTTAACTATACTATCAAATTTTTAATATGTTTATTTTCTAGAATCTTCAGATTTTCGGAAAACACCCACACCTACATCCTCAACTAGACTAAATTTCGTAAAAAAATTCACAAGTTTTGAACTAAATCTTT